CGCCCTGCTACCGAACCCCGCGACGTTCCTCGAAGCCGACTTGCTGTCGCTTCCTGCCCCTCGAAAACCACCGACTCTTTTGCCCCGCACCCCGTCCAATGCACCGCGAGAACAACGGAAGGGTCTCTTGCCCTTCGACCACTTACGCACACCATGCGCTTCTCTTTTCTTTGTTCTCTGGCCGCTTGGACGCTTGCGATACGGCAACTTTCTTGAAATTTCGCTCCGCCATTTGAATACATTCCTCAAACGCGTCGCGATTTCTGCCTGCCTGTTTTTACGGCGCTTTCTCCGTTTTGCACGTCTCTTGGTGCCGTCTACGGAGCCTTTCGCCCATCTCTGATGCTCACCAGCACCCACATGCTCATCTGATTTTTCGCGCGGACTGTCTGGATAATTGCCTAGCAATCTCTCCTTCAAACACTGCCGCGTACGATGCGCTTTTCTTTTCCGGCGGTTCGGACGCACACGATACAGACCCGTCAGAGATGACAACGGCACTTTTCTCGCGATTTTACCACGCCGTTTGAAACCCTTACTCAAACGCGTTGTGCTCATCTCGAGCTTTGCCTTATTGTTGCCCTTCGGACGCTTTCTCCCCTGTGCACGCTTCTTTGTGCGGACCTGGGAGCCTTTCGTCCTACTCTGACGTTCTTCATCACCGATATGCTCCTCCGCCATCTCGCGCGCCCAGTCCTGATGATTGCCTATCAGTTCATCGTAAGACCGCGGCCGCGTAGATTGCGCACTTCTGTTCCTTACTCTCCGGCCGCTCAGACGCCTGCGATTTAAGCCAGTCAGAGAAGACAACGGGCCTTTTCTCGCAAATCCGCCACGCCGTTTGAAGGTCCTCGTCAAACGCGCTGCGCTGATCGCGAGCCTTGCCGCGCTTCTGTTTTTCGGACGCTTTCTCCGTTTGGCACATTCCTTGGTGCCAAACCTGGAGCCTTTCGTCCGCCTCTGACGCTCATCAACATGGTCTACAGGGCTGCAAGGTTCGATGGAACACTCTGTTAATCTTAACTTCGTTTCCCCCACCACGGAACCCTCACACCCTGCTGTGACCGCGAGCTCTTTTCCCTCAGAATGGGTTAAAACCTGTTCCATTCCCTTACAGGCACTAGCCTTCTCTTTGGCCTCAAACGGCACCGCCGCTATATCTACAGATATCAGACCCGCAGCACTCTCTTCGGCCCTAAACGGCACCGCTGCTGAAACGCACCGTTCGTGCGGTACATCTGCAAATTTCTGACCTGTAGCCCTCTCTTCGGCCTTAATCGGCACCGCCGCTACGTCGCACCGTTCGTGCACTTCATCTACAGATGTCTGACCTGTAGCCTTCGCTTCGGTCTTAAACGGCACCGCCGCTACATCGCACCGTTCGTGCGCTACATCTACAGATGTCTGACCTGTAGCCTTCGCTTCGGTCTTAAACGGCACCGCCGCTACATCGCACCGTTCGTGCGCTACATCTATGGATTGACCACTCTGCTGCAATGCCACCAATTCACAATTAAGCCTTTCTATCTCTTCATCTAATTCCTGCATCCTTTTTATATGTTCTTCATGCCTGCGCTCAGCTTCCAATTCCTCCTGGCGCCATCTTTCCTTTCTTTGCGCCCTTTGTACTTCCTCCTCCTGGTCCAATAAGTACATATTCCCGAAGTGCTCGATTTCCTCATTGTCACTATTGCTTTCGAGAATCACTTCGCGGAGTTTAGAAGCAGGCATATCATCATTAAAATCTAGCTCCAGATCCCAACACAGGTTCAGCAGGTTCTCTCTCGTCAATCTCGTAAGATCCATGGCGACTACTTTGCTTTGGCTCAGCTGTGACAAAACACAAACCCACCAGCGCTTCAATTCTGGGTCTAGAGAAATTGAAGCCTGGCAAATCTCACAGCGGAGACCACAAGCTTAAGCACCCAAGTAGCACTACGTGGCCAACATCCCTCTCTACTTTTTCTTGTTAATTTTTCACTCCTGCTTTTTACAACATCCTAAAATTTAACCCGCAACGTACCCTTAGAAATTTTGAAACATTACCCCTTGTTCCTATTGAATCATCTAAGCTTTCCTGCTTTAGCGTACTTGCTCAGATAATCATCCAGTGCTGCCTTGTGCTGAGATAACAACCACAGTGGCCAGGCAGTTGTTGGTTATATCCATCTTTTAACGAATTTAGGCTAAAAGACTCGATATATCTCAAGCACAAAGCCAGGCACTCACCCCATTACGTGCGGTGGTGGTACGCTGCTTCGATCCCGCCGAGTTCCAGGGCTTTCGGCTGGCCTCCGGTACATGTCGCTCTCCGTCGCAGACTCGTATCCCACCGCTGCCAACCAGTTGTTGCGACCGGGGTTTCCAGACACCGGAGGTCCGGGATGAAGTTGTCGAGGCAGGAGGAAGAGAGACTTGAAGAGGGTTTATTTACAATATGTACATTGCGAACTCCCTACACGGTGAGCTCTCAAACGTGGCAGGCCTCTACATGTCTCCTAACATAGCGCTACATGGTGCTTGGTTCTACATGGTTCTGCTCGGTTCTGCTCTCGAAAAAAAGCACACACGAATGAGCCGTGGGGGCTCATTATAAAGGGTCTGTCCTCCCCAGATCCCTAGATCGGGGACCGCGTACAGAGGGCACCGTCCAACCACGGATCACACATTACCCGCGAGGGTGACGAGCACGCACGGTCCACGTGAACGTTCAAAATTGAAGCGTGGTCACTGCACGGCCATGTGGCACGAACGTGGCTCCTCCTCGTCAAGGGGTGTCGCTGGGCGAGGGGTCTGAAGTTGATGACTGCATCCATCGAAAGGGCCGCCGTAAACAAGCTTCAAATGGTCGCCGAACGACTCGTTCAATTAGCGGGACGATTTCCGGCCGCCGCCGCCGCCGTCATCTTCCAAAGAAGAAGCGGCACTTGTGGTCTCCCGAACTGCTCACGGTGTCGTGGCGGCAAGACGCCGCACCCTACGGCCAGGGGGGAACAATACATGGCGGACACAGGCCGCCAGCCCGTTTGGCGACTAAAAAGGAACATCAAAAGGAACGCCGATCCATTGTCAGACCTGGCGCCGGTCCTAACAGTAGGCAGCCGGTCGTTCGGTTACTTGTTTGAAGATTAAAGGAGCGCCGCTCCCTCTTCCGCTCTGGCGCCGGTCACAACAGCGCAGAATAACAGCGGTCAGTTCAAGCTACTTTGTGCAAATCAACGCGTGCCACCGTTTCGCGGAACATTTCCGCAAACTCGTCGCCTGTTCTGCGAACACTGCAGCGCCACTGAGGAACAAGACTCTACGCCACCACACAGGTCTTTGGCGGTGCGTGAAATCGCGCATGTGTTGTTTGGGGCACTATCTTACAGCGATCCTCTTGCATGGTAGTTTGGTCTTGAGGTTACATATTTCGGTTCGTTGCCTGGGAATACTTGGGAGCACACCATTGATTGATATGTGGGGTTTAACGTCCCAAAACCCCCATATAATTATGAGAGACGCCATAGTGGAGGGCTCCGGAAATTTCGACCACCTGGGGTTCTTTAACGTGCACCAAAATCTGAGTACACGGGCCTACAACATTTCCGCCTCCATCGGAAATGCAGCCGCCGCAGCCGGGATTCAAACCCGCGACGTGCGGGTCAGCAGCCGAGTACCTTAGCCACTAGACCACCGCGGCGGGGCCTTGGGAGCACACCAACTTGCTGTTGTGGGGAGATCGCATATACTGTCATCGGCGGACACGACAGAGCAGATTGGAAACACTGTTTTAGGTTGATATAGAATGAGAAATGCCATTTGTTGCACGTGTTCGGGGTCTTCACGACAGAGCAGAATGGAAACAGTGTTTTAGCTTGATATAGAATGAGAAATGCCATTTGTTGTACGTATTCGGGGTCTTCGACTTCGCGCCGTCGCTTCGCAACCAATTATTGTTGCCTCCTTCAATTTTAGTTAACCAGTGGTGAATGGTGTAACTTGATTTCTGCGCCAAATACCTGTTAGGATGGTGACCATTTTCTGTGATCAACTCACAAGGAAAGATTTGCTAAAGAGCTTCGCTGTTAAAACTTCTCAAAGGTGAGTTTCATGGAGTCCTTTCCTTTTAATAATAAACCATCAGGTTAGACAATAATTACCGCGCATTTCGAGTACAATCGGCAAAAGCGATGTTCACTTGCGATAGCGAATGCTGCTGGTGACCATAGTCATCAGTGTTTATATCGTGCTTGTCATTACGATCATGGTTTCTCGTCGTGGTGGTAGTAGCCATTTGTGCAGAATCGGGCAAGAGTTATTCGATTCTTGCAAAAGCCTAACCTTTGCATAGGTTCGCCATGCAGAGTAAACTTTCATTTTGTCGCAATAACAGTGCCAACAATGCAGACTACAGTTCACAGTTTATAACGAAACGAACCGCCCGTGATTACTGCAACCAACTGGTTAAAGCCGGTCCCGAGTACAGGAACTGTTTTTTTTTTCTTTTTTTCAACCATGCACTCAACTGTCTGTAACGCGCGTTGGGCGGTTTCCCAAACCCGCTCCTTGTCGCACATATAGCACCGGGCTATTTACTACCTACCTAACTTCCGTTCGATAGACCTCTTTACGAACTTCCTTTTTCCGCGTTGTTTTGCTGCTTCTTGGCGCATTTCACGCCTATCGGTTCTTGTCATTGCCGTCCTCGTGAAACGCGCGTTTCCGCCTCTCCAACTTCCGACGTTATAAGAGGAAGTCAATCCTCGAAGCAATGCTGCCGACTCTTATCGGAATTTATTAAATGGAGCGCGGCAGCAGTGCGCCCACTTTCACTTAAAATGTAGCGCGCGCGCGCGCACTCGACAGCAGGGCGGCCGGTACGCAAACAGACCGAAGCGCCTCGCTGGCACACGCGCTGAAGTCCCGCGCTCCGTATGGTGGCGCCCTCTCAGCGGCGCTCGCGACCGCCTTCGTCGATGACGCCGCCACCGGCCGCTCGCTCGTTCATCCACAGTGCGTGCCGGCAGCTCGTCGACGGCGAGTGCGGCCCCGGCGCTCCCGAGGACGGTCGCTAGGCCTAATACCGCCTGCATCTCTCCGCACTTTCGCCGCGCGCCCGTGCAATTTGCATCTTGCTCCCGTGGACGTGCGAACGCGTGGGTGTGCATCGACGCTTGTGCGTCAACCGTGAGCGCTGGTGCGCGTTTTGAGTGCGGTTTCGTCTCTCGCAGTGCGCGTGTGTTGGTGGTGGTGTGTTGTGTGCTCTTCATCGGCAGCGGGAACGACTTCGGCTCGGCGCGCGCCGGCGCCTCGTCGTCCTGGTGTTTCGCCGTGCTCCCGAAAGCCGCCGGCCCGGTTTGCACGCTCAAAGTAGCCAGGTGAGCTCCCGTGTGTGTTCTCTTCAGTCTGATTCGGTCGGCCAGCATTCTGGCGTCGTGTTGTTTTGAAGCTTAGCGTTACCACAGCAACTCCAACGCCACCGGGCTGGGGTTCGCCTTCTTTTTTTTCTTTTCCTTGGCGCCCGCGGAAACATCTGTCGTCTGAGCGTCGTCTGCGAGCAGTCGTGCCCGGTAAAATGCGGACCAGGTCGCCTTTGCAGTCTTACTTTACAATGCGGCATTGTTGAACGGACACTCATGAGAGCCGAGGTGTGCGACTACATATTTCAGAGTGGAGCGAAGTTACTTTCGTTTGGCCCGTGCTGGCAGCTTCTCCGCAAACCACCGGACGTTCGCGCTTAGTGGAGAAGTTGACCTCGCAGGATCGGTGATTTGTCGTGAAAATTTGCTATTTAAGAAGGGGGGTAAAATTCGTTTTCGAGTTTTTTTTTTCTTTTTGCGCTATTAGCGGCCTTGATTGGTTGCGCCACATTGGAATGAGCTGCCAATGATGCTGCGCTGAATTTCAATGCGCCAAGCGGGATCTTAAGTCTTTCACGCTGCAAAAAAATATAAAAGGAAAAACTTGATTCCTTTCGTGTCTCAAGGTTAGGCGCTTCTTCGGAAAGGGAGGGGAGACAGAGATATCCTGTCTCCTACGGGATGCCCGGTTAGCGGCATAAAAACACACAAAAAAACTCTTTCCGTCCCGGTCGCCAATTTATTGCGCCTTTATTGTAACGTTATCTGCGCGGAATTCGCGGACGCTTTTTGAGTCCGCTTACATGCCGTTCCTCTCGCCAACTGGCATGCAGGGGTGTCTGTCGCAGTTGAGTGTCGTAGGCGAATGCGTTGCGTCGTGACAATTTCGCGGACATGGATAAAAGATTTGAAAATATCGCTTCTATAGTTGGGTTTCTTCTTTCTTTCTGTCTCTCTCTCTCTCCCCATGTCGCACTTGAGATGAGTGCGCACCTGGCAAATTAAAGAATACAGTTGCATAGTTACCCGCCGCTGTGCTCTAGTTAGTGCTTATGGTTTTCGGCTGCTGACCGAAAGGACACTGATCGAGCCACAGTCGCGGCGGGCGTTTGAGGCAGAATGATAGACGCCCATGTGCTTCGATTTTGGTGCGTGTTAAAGAACGCCACGTGCTCGGGACTTCCGGGACCCTTCCACTACGGCCGCGCCTATATAACCATACCGTCGTTTCGTGAAAGTAACAACCGGAGATTAACAAATGTGTTGCAGGAACCAAAGTGACATCGGAGATACGTGAAGTACGAAGATTTACGTAAGAAACTGCTGGGTGGTATCGATGACCGCTTGACTGTAACGCGGCTTTGGTCTTCGGATAAACGGAGTGTTTAATTCCGCGACAGTACTTTCTAATTCCGCGTTCTACTTTTCACGCTGCTTGGTTCGATCTATTGCGAATTCGTCAATTTATAAGAGGGCTTTGAACGTTCGGTAGTGTCCGAACGATTCGTATTTCGTTGATTGGTACTTGCTAACAGTTACTCCCGCCAAGGGATTTTGACGATCGCTTTATTAAATTAACTAAGAACCTATTATCTGGTGGGTGTAATATTAAGAAGTGTTGATTTTTGGGCGATTTGGTTTGCCACAGCAGGACACTTCAAAGCACGCACGCAAGTACAGAGTGAAGTGACACCAACTCAGGCGCTTGCTTTCAAATGTCTATTTATTCACAAAACAGCGTAATAAGGACACATTCTTTTATGACGTCACAAGACTGTAGTGCTGGTATCACGTTAACCGGCTGTAGAGAACGAAATAGTGGAAGGCGCGTTGCCGGCACGCTTTTGAAATCAAATCGTCCTCTACTATCTCCGACGTCTTGGCTCCGATTTCTCGCTACCCACTTTACACATATCATATGATGGTTTACTTTTCCAGGGCTTGTTTATTCGATGGTCGTTTATCGAGTCACTTCTCAATTAAATTGATTGATTTGATTGATTGATTTGTGGGGTTTAACGTCCCAAAACCACCATTCGATTATGAGAGACGCCGTAGTGGAGGGCTCCGGAAATTTCGACCACCTGGGGTTCTTTAACGTGCACCCAAATCTGAGCACACGGGCCTACGACATTTCCGCCTCCATCGGAAATGCAGCTGGGAATCGAACCCGCGACCTGCGGGCCAGCAGCCGAGTACCTTAGCCACTAGACCACCGACTTCTCAATTAAAAGGGATTCGGCGATGATGTAGGAAGTGTGGAAAATACGAGACGCTGTGTTATCTCTTTGGTTTCTTTGATGTAATAGTTAAAGTTGGGAATCAAACTTCTTGTATACAATTATAGCTTGGAAAAAGTCAGAAGCGACGTGCGTGTACTTTTTACGACCCGTTTTAGTATCATGGTATACCTGTAGTGCTAATACATCTTGAGTTTCACCCCTCTTCACCTTCAGCGTATTTCTCGCTAAAGAGGTCCGCGGGACGGCTTTCAGCTTTCCCATAGTATAGTGTACTAATTACTCTAAATCGTTTACCACTTTTCATAAACACATCTTGAGTGATGCCAACGGGACGGCTTTAGGCTCTCCCATAGTAGAGTATCTATAGTACTCTAAATCGTTACCCACTTTTTCTAAACACATACTTGTACTTGATCTCCTCGTGACAGACAAGAAGTATTGGGAGACCTTACGTCATGCGGTGTCGCAGACGCTGCTTTCTCTGTTCCAAGGGAGATGCGATGTTCTAAATGCCCGGATGTTTGCGTGGCCGTTGCGTTAATGATACGCACCTTGTCTGCTGTAGTCGCGAGAACACGGTATGCACCAATCAAAGCTGGCAACAGTGTTGGCGCCTTATTTGCGCCCTCGATAAACCGTAGGTCGTACAGCGCGATTACCGCTACGCCACCGCCTGATCAATTGCGCACGCCACGAGAAGATTAAATTACTAACATAAATAGTAGACAACGCAGTCAACGGGCTGAGATTGAATAAAGACAACGTTGATAGTTTACTGCCGAGAATGGTCGAGATCACCTAACATTAATAATATCGACGTTCCACGCTCCAAAAAACCATATGACTATGAAAGACGCCACAGTGGAGGGCTCCAGAAATTTCGGCCTAATCCGGGACCTTTGAGTCCGCAGCCGAGCGTGCACCACAATCACTGCTCCACCGCGGCGGACATCGCCTGACACTACTTTTCGATAGCTTTCGGTTTTTTTTCTTGCTTTTTTCATCTTGGTGAGCATTTTCGCAGTAACCGTGTAACAGCCCCGAAAGGCTCACATCGGTGCAAATCAATCAAATGAGGCATCGGTGAAGCCAACATTTAGCCAAGACTACCCAGCACTAACCCAAGCCATGTAGACAACGTGATCCAACGTTAATCCATGATTCGGCCAAGGCCAGGTGGTGTCAGCTAGTGCTGCTAAGAGGTCTTGGTTTGGATGACCTTTTATGAGGCCCGATGTACCATGCAGCAGCTGACAGCTACGATGAACCAACAACGGTGATGCTCATACACGAGAACGATGAGGATGCATGATCCACACACGATGATGATGATACTGTACAGATGAAGCAGATGAGTGAAATAAGTGCCCACGCTGCTAGCATGCAACTGAACGCGGCAGTCCAATTCTGTCGTTATTTATCGATGCAAGGAAATCATTGCTGGTGGCATTCTGCGTTATTCCGAATAGAATAGGCGTAGGCTTAAGAAGACGTTGTTCTCTCAGACGCATGCGCAAATAACTCGGAGGGGGAAGTGGTGTTATACGGCTGTGTACTTCTGCAGTCGTTGGTATAAGGCGATATAGATAGTTTGCGATCTGGCGTACGCCCGTACTGAAACAGGCTAGCGTCTATAGTTCCTCGTTCATACGATGTTCCTGTTTGATACGTTGCTAGTATACCCCCCCTAGTTTCCACGCATGCGCGTAGTGTTTGCACTGGGAGTTACTTATCCTTTGCGCGGCCGCTTGTTTGTCGACCGTGCCCTGTTGTTGCCGGGCGCGCACGCTATACGGCGATGGGAGTTATACGACGTTGCACCACACGCCGTGTAAACCGCTAGAGATGCTTGCAATGACTGCGACGACCTTATGTATGTATAGCCGTGATCACTTTATTGCTGCGGCTATCGTGGTTTCGGTCCTATACGGCGAAACCGTTATCGCGTGGGTTCCTTTGAGACTCGTCATTGAAGCGTTATTGCTGTATCCTTCGTTGTTTCTTTTTGGTCTTGTTACGTAGATTACTGCGGTGTCCTTCGACGCGGGAAAATAAAGAGTGAGTGGGAGTGGGCCTCTAATGATTATTGCTCTATACGTTTGGTTCCATTTCGTTGAAGATGTTGCGCTTGTTTTGGGTACGTGACAGCCAAACGATTGCTTAGGGACAGGAAGTTGCAAACGACAATCTCGGCCTTGATAGCTCAGCCCGTTCGTGTGCTCAAGTTTCGTGTCATGCTTACGATGATACAGAGGTCGCGCACGTAGTACGTGCATGGACATTCGCAGGGTGGTGCCACGGGGGCGACTGTGCCACGTTCCCTTTAATTTTCAGATTATATTTTTCTATGCAACAGCAGTGAGCTACGCAGATCGACTTGCGCCATCACGTCCTTTCAGATCCGTCTGAAACGGCCTCCAGGATTGCCAGCCACCTTAGTACCTTATGCATTATTGACTGATCTTGTCAATCACGACACGGCAATCAAATAATGGAAGGCTGTCAATGTGGGGTACACCCCCTCTCTCCTGCCACTTCGGTCGTCTGTACGGGGCGTCTTCAGACTTCTTTTAAGTCCCCGACATAAGTATCCCTCCGTGTGGCCTTGAGCGTAGCGCTTTGTAGGGTATATACGGCGCTTTCTGTGCGTCTTCTATCGTATGCCACCCACCTGAAAGTAAAGAAAACTCTCTGACGTTGGTCCGGGCGTTATTTTCCCATATATGTGTCTTGAAGTATGGTGGTGCGCCATGATGTGGTCGCATGCTTTGCCTG